TATCTCCTGTCTTCGTTCATTTTGATTGTGGCTTACGAGATCATTTAATACTCGCGATCGATCCCAGTCTCCAACAACCTATATTCAAATTGTCAGAACGTTAAGTATTGTCAACTACAGCATTCAATCTATGACTTTTAACAATTTTACCACAAACAATTTTTTCTATCCACTTACAAAATCACCAGTTGCCCCTGTAGAACCGATCGATTCCATCCACATCATCACATACATGCCGCAATCATATCTGTTACAAAATTTGAAAACCACACATGTCAATTATGATGAATACTGCATAAATTAAGCTTTCTATTTGTGATAACATCTCATACCCATTCAATTGCTTATTCTTCTTATGCTCCACAAATTTGAAGTTTTTCAAGGGATACTTTCCTAGAGATCCACATGACTCAACCCAAATGCGTTTCTTATTATAAGAATCTAATATTTTAATCTGCATTAAATAGAAGAAGTTATGCACCAAAAAAATTATGCATTATAATTACATAATGTCCTTTCATACATACATACATACCAATCTCTTAGCATCCTTCACTCTCTGTTTAGCTGCTTCAGTTGTAAACATACTATCATATATTGTTACAACATGATCTACCATATCCAACACCAACAGATACCAGTGTGAATTATGGTAGTTTATTGTGATCATTATCTGCAACAAATTTCACACCCAATTTGACAAAATTCAACATTCTATATCCGAAAACATCATTTGCAATTGGTATGGTGTCTTACCTTCACAGTCGGTGAATTTCACATAGTTATCCAATATGACACCCCAGAAGGTAGAAATATTCTCAACACTTTCTTTATTGTTGGCTTCCAACGCCTGTTGCTGTAATTACGCAACAAACATTATTAATTTACCGTCTATAACACTACTTTTCAATATTATTAATTTAACTCACCACTAAGAGGTATGGAAGGTAGCCAATCCTCCGGTGTGACTTTTGAGAATCGTAGCATATGGTCCAGGCGAGCAAATCGATAACCTAACAAAATTAATTACACAATCAGAACATATTCAATAAGTTTTATTTATTTTCTACTTTCTACTTACCACACCGCCAACCCATTCTGTAGGCTTCAACGTTGCAACGTCGTATACAGTAGCGAATTGATTTCCCATTGATATTACAGAATATCTGTATGAATCATTAGGATTAATATCTTGTCATGAAATATTTAAATATCACTCACAAAACAATATATTTCACTTACCCCGATTCTAACTCGCTATTCCATAATAATCACAAATTGCAGCTTCGATGTCATCAATTCCGGTTGGAATGTCCGCTTTTTCAACCTACAATTTTGCATACAAATTTTTGTCACAACAACATAATAAAAATCAATTAAGTATTCTTTTATTAAACTTACCTTCTGCTTCTTCTTCTGGGGTGCAGGACATTCCGAATCCAAAACTGCTGCTATAACACTCTCCGGTGTATAAATGACATCGACTTCCTTCCTCCTCATTTCTTCCATCTCTTCTTCTTCCTCCTCCCTCTTTTCTTCTTCATATTTTTTCAGTTCATCGTACTTTTTTTCTACATAGCTCTTCATATCTTTTATTTCACCCTTCAATTGAGCTCCTTCATCCGAGTATTTATCAACCACCCCCTTCACCCCCGTAAGTTCACTCCTCAAATCAACAACCTCCTTCACCACTCCCTCAAATTTTTCTCCCGTCACCATCTTAATATCACCCCTTAACACCGAAACTTCTTTCACCACTTCACCCCTCAACACCTCTACTTCTTTCACCACTCCATCTATTTTTCCTTCCACTACCCCCTTATGCCTCTCGAGTTTCTCTACGACTTGATCAAGTTTCTCTTCGACTCTTGATTGTCTTTGCATGATTTCAAATTGGATTTTTTTGATATCAGCCAATTCAGACATCAAAATGTCGAAGTTACTCTGTTTTGCTTCACCGTCGTCCCACTCACCTTCATCCCCAATACAACCATCCCTCCTTTCTTCTCCTCTGCCTCCACTGCCTCCTCTACATCATTGCCAATAACCTTCAAAAAATTAAATTACAATATTAAGACATTGATTATATTCTTATATTATTTAATTACATTTATTACCATTTCTTGCTTCTTCCCTCTATCCAACTTCAACTTCACCATCACTCTAACCACCTCTTCCTTCCCCCATGCACGGATGCGTGCCACTCCGGTTCTTTCATAAGCCGGCACTGCCTCACAGCCTGACCAAAATCGAACAGTGCAACCTGCATTTATAATAAATTAGAATTTTTATATAAAAACACAAAAAAGTGATTCAACTCATTTACCTCTAAGATTGCTATGCACCCTTTGAGGTATCTCTGGCTGCCCTTTTTAAAGGTGATAATTGATTCAATCAATCTCGAATGGATATATTCAGCCCAATTGAATTCACCCTTCAAGCCTTCATCGCAAATGAGCTTCATATATTCCTTGTTCGTTGACGTATCACCCGTTGGACAAAGAAATATACCGACAAGGTACAATAGAACTCGGGCCTTCAGCTCATCCCCCAAGTAAGATCCACTTTTGATATCCTCTTCAACTTCAGTATATGTCACCTTATGATTCAAACCATATTTGGAGGCAAGTGCTTTCCAGTTCTTACTCCTACAGACTTCTATAACACTTTTGCCTTTGTTTTGTACCCCCAATACGGCTGCAGCAGTCGATACCCCCAGAGGGAATGAATAATCACCATACTTAGCCATACATTGACTGACGTCAAATTGTGCCATCAAGGATCGACACAATTCCCTCCGAATAGGTCGATCCCTTACTCCGATCAACGATCCAAAACCTATTCTCCCAGCACATTCAACTGACCCTTCTCCTTAAGGTGTTTAATTAATAAATTCACCCTTTTAATGCTGCATCTTGTCGAAACTTCCTACATTTTTTAACAATATATAATGTTATAGTTCTTATATATTTTGTATCAACGTATTTACAAGTTTAATGAATACCTTATTTTCATGTGCTTTCCTCCGTTCTTTGTATTCTTTACTATCATTCCTTGACTGTGTGATGTAAGGTTCCTTTTCAGCATCACTCATTGAATTCCATTTGGACCTCACATCTTTTTTCACCTAATATTAAACATAAACGTTTCTTAATCAATACATTAACACTAAATACTAATACTACTCAATGTCAATTTCATTTTACATACCGAACCGCTCTGTGTGCCATCTCCCTTCATCCTTTTGCATTCGGTCATACTGTTAACATTTAAAATTTGTAATCAATTTAAAGTTTATCGATACTTTAATCCAATTACCATTTCAACAATAATAACAAAAAGACATTGATACTTACTAGAAGTACATATATCCACCCTTTGGTTGCTTTCGAGTCTCGGCCTCAATTTCAAAGTCATCTGCTCCACCAACAATTTTCCAACCCATTGACTCCATTTTTCCTTCATATATCAGTTTACGCAAATCAATTATTTGTTACATACACTTTTCAATATACAATATAGATAACTACTCTTGTGGTAAAACGGTTTTCTTCAAAAGAATTTGAATGGCCACACCAAAATGTGTCGGCACATTTATACAACCTATAATATCATTTTCTACCTATAATATTTAATAAAAGTATCGACATTTATTTTTCCTTGAATATCTATTTCTACCTGCAATCGGTCCCAAATGCTTCCTTACTCCAAAACCCCAAACAACACATAAAAAACCCTATCGCGATTACTGTAATAATAAAAAATTAGGGTTCGACAACATACTTTTCGATTCGACTGCAGCAACAAACAAACAAACTTCGCTTTAGAAACGCCTTCTGAAATGCAGCAACAATTACTCTTCGATTTCAAAAACTCGTCCGTTCTATCTATTTTCAGAGGATATTAGCTTATATTTCATCGGATATGTTATTTATATTTAATCGATACAAATACAAAAGTGTCGATACTTTTATGTCAGGTGTCGATACTTTCGAAAGGATAATTACCTATTTCTTTGAAAGTGTCGATAATTTATTACACGTACTTACGAAAGTATCGACACTTTCAATATATCCGGTATCATTTTACCGTTTTTATCATTTTGATACCGGTTTTATCATATTTTTACCTGTTATATCGTTGTGGATCGATATTTTTTTTAAAGTATCGACACATTATAGGCGCTATAACTGCTTCTCTTTTAAATTCACAAAGTGTCGATCCTTATATAACGTATCGACACTTTTAAATTTACCGGTTTTATCATTTTGTTACCGGTTTTATCATATTTTACCTGGTATATCGTTTGGATCGATATATTTTTTAAAAGTATCGACACTTTTTAGGATTTAAAACTGCTTTTAAAGTTATGTAATTTATGTTTCAATTTATTTAATAGTGTTTCATGTTTTCCACCTACAATATTAATTTAATAATTTCATTTACACAAAAAATTATTTGATTGTTTTGATATTTTATAAAATATTATTTAGACTTATTATTTAACAATATTAACTAAAGATAATAATAAATATATTTTCACAGTGAAATAAGTATGGACACTTTTATAAAAAGGATAGATAATTTACAATATAACAAGTAAAAATATGACAAAACCAGATTCATTATGACAAAACCGGTAAAATTTACTTGATATGTTAAACGTATGGACACTTTTATAAAAAGGATAGATACTTACCGATAACCAAAGTTTACCGGTTACCAAATTTTTTAATAGTTTTTCATATTTTCTACCTAAAACATTATTAGTTGTCAACATAATAGGTACCGCTAAACCGAATTTATTAAATACATTTTAATGTATCCGGTAATGCTGTATATTAGCCGTATATTAACCCGCCTTTCCTGAGACATTCCCCTGGTATCGTCTATTTTAATTTTGAAGTTTCCAGTCAAAAAGGATAACCCAATCCTTTGCCCGCACTCCATATATAAACCTGAAACTCGTCCCCCAGTCCATAAATATCCCTTCTCTTTGGGAAATTCCCTACCGAAACATAAAAAGAAAAAATTGGAATTAAAGAAGCAAACGATCAAGTAAATAACCACGCCACCCCACGAAGGCAACAGCTGTTTGTTTCTCGGGAATCCGAGAGAAACTTCGTTTTTCTTTTTTTTTTGAAAGAAAAAAGCCATCGCCTTTGGCTTTGCTTTGGAGCCCCATGAATTCGCACGTTCCCAGTAACGCGCCGTGGACGGACGAGAAGCACGTGCATTTCCTCAACTCCATGGAGGCTTGGTTCGTCCGTACAATGTTCGAGAACAACAGCGATCGCTATAACCTCCGCCTCGACCGTCAACTTCCGGACAGCTCCGACTCGACACTCGATTGCAAACACCACAATGTTCCGACCAGAAAAAAACACGCCTCTTCGGGTACTGTCATTTTACACGGTTTAAACGATCTGTCCTTTTTTTTCCTTTTCTTTTTGTTACACTTTAGCACCACTTTTCACCCTTCAGATACTCCAGCCTTCGGGTCTCTTCCATGGTGCAAAACAGTCCATTTTAGCATCACAAGAAGCATTTTTCGAAATGTCAATGGAGACACGAATAAAATATTAAGTCCTTTAAATAATATCAAAAAAGTTATTTATTTTATAACTATTAAAATTTATAAAATATTAAGTATTTCAATTATTAAAGTAAAAAAATTAATTATTCGATTATTTATTATATTTCAAATCCATTCTGTTTTGTTAAAAAAATTAATGATCACATGAGTTAAACGTCAAAATATTATTTGAGATATGATATTTATTTAATATTACGATATCATATTTTATTATATCTTAATTAATAGAATAATGTTCATATCATATTGTTAATAATTTTTTTTAAAAAATGATAGATTTAAAACATAATTAACAGTTAGTGATTATTTTATAATTTTTAATAATAAAAAATTTAATAAATTTTTTTTTTAATTTTTTTATAGTTAAATAATTATTTTATAATTTTAAATAGTATTGTCGAGGGATATATTGGTCTGTAAATCATTTTATGATGACTATGTCAAAAGGAATATATTACATGTGGAATATGCCCGGAGATTTTTGTAGCCGGTAGGTCACTTTAGGGTTCTTTTAAACTCTCTTTTTAATGATTTTTAGTCCTTCTTTGTCCCGGTCCATTGTTTTTGCAGCAGATTCTATAGGCACAACAAGAAGCAAAATGAAGGTTAAGACTGATAAAAGACTAAAGCGACCACCACCACAGCGGCCGCCGCCACCGCCCCCTCAATCTCAGCCGCATGATTCATCACCAGATCAGGTTAGTGCCATAATTATGGACCCATGTAAGCTGGCGAGTTTCAATCTTTTTGGCAAACACATCGTCTCTACAGTTCCTGACATTGTTTGATCTTTAGTCTTAACAAATGAACTTCTGTTGTTGTTTCCTCTTCTCTCTCTCTTTATCGATTTCATTTGTGTTGTTCGATTTTGTGTTCGCAGGTGGTCCCTCAGGTCGGAAACGGGACAGAGGATAAAGATTAGAAAAATATCTTCCCCTAATCCCTACAAACTAATATAAGAGATGTAATAAATTAGCTTGTAATTTTTTTCTTTGTTTGATCCCTATATTTGATATTTTTTCTATTTTGACCCTTCTAGTGATGTGGCGTGTAGTATTACATCGCGTGGCATAATGTCGAAGTGTATCGGATATCACCTCATCAAAGTTGTTTAATTTATCATTTTTATTTAAATGATATTTTTACATCAATTTAATTATTAAAATTATTTAATTACATCATCTTTAACCATAAGCCTTAACTTAATACCCTAAACAATAATAAATATTTTAAACATTGATGCAATTGAGTAATTTCATGGATTAAGAGTTAAATTAATGCGAAAATATCATAGAGATGAAAACGATAAATTTAGTTAATTATAAGGATAGAAATGACTTTTAAATCTTAAATTTAAGATAATTTCTAATATAATTTAAAAAATTGTAAAATCATAACTCGATTGAATTGAATTGGACCATTCTAATGATCTGTAAGAACTCTCTCATATTTTCACTTGATTGTAAAGTACGATTTTAGACATGCAATATTTCGGCTATATACCTAACTGATTGATGTAAGATATTTCTATGATATCCCGATATTTTTGCACCGGAAATGTGCTATTACTGTCTGATGATGATGATATAATATTAATATAAAAAAATTATATTAAATTTTACCACGTCTGAATAAAAATATATGACAAAAATGATAACTTTTGTCTTTATTTTTTTTAGATTTAATTTATCATTTTCATCTCTATCGTATTTTCATATTAATTTAATTCCCGAAGTTGTTCAATTGCATCAGTCTATACCTCGTCCTTAAATTATAAATCCTAAGTTAGGTTTTAGAGTTTATGGTTTAGAGATTATGAGAGTATGGTTTAGGGTTTTAAGTTAGGGGTATGATATAGAATGATGTAATTGAGCAACTTCGAGAGTTAAATTGATGCAAAAAATATGATAGGGATAAAAGCGATAAATTGGGTCTACTATAAAAATAAAAATTATCCTTTACCAAAATATATTTATATAAAATACATATTTATACAAAATTACAGAAAAAATACTCACAAATATAATAAAAAAATATTTAATCCAGAAATTGTGTAAAATTTAAATTCTACACTCATACTTTTTTTAATAGAAACCGTTAGTATTATTAAAAAATGAAAATATTCAAACTTTTAAACTTTAATCTCTGAACTTAAACTTCGTTTAAATTTTAAACCCTCAGCCCTAAAACATATAAAATTAAACCTTAAATAAGCATGCATGTTTAGACTCCACAAGTATACATATATGAATGTCATATAACTTTGGATTCTAAATTCAAATCTTAAAACATATAAATCTAAACCCTAAATTAAAAAATACATCAATATAACATCATTTCTATATTGTTAGGAAGTACGATCATTGTATGAGTGAAGATAGACGATTCAAATTATCTCATTTTTTTCTCGTGAATATTTCTTATTTTTAATTGTTAATCTCAATCATATATTTTTATTCCTCGAATTATTTTTAAAAATTATAAAACTAAAAAAAATACGGTATGAAACTATATATATATACACAGAGTATAGTTAAAAGAATAAAGATGTGGACATGGGACAAAGAAAGGGGAGACATGAGGAAGTTCTTATCCATACAATAGATAAGAGTTGGTTGCATAATCTTTTCAGAGAATAATACCTTTGCTATTCCACGACGCATAGTTAACAAAAAGGTTAAACACCACCCTACCCTAACTAACTGTTGTAACAGGGATTTAGGGTTGTTCACGAACAGTTAACTGTATCATTTAGCTTAAGTTGTTGATTAACCGTTATTTATGAAAAAAATATAATACATTAGAAATATAATTTATTAGCGGTTAATCATTTACCAAAATCGTAACCGTAATTATCAATATTTTTAACGGTTCGATTAATCGAAATAATGTAATATTAACAATTCGGTTAATTAACCCGTTAAATATAATAATTATATCGGTTAACGGTTACAGTTACAGTTACGAGTATCTTTTAACTCCCCCAGGAAACCATAAAGATCATTCAAGGTTCTATCCACAGCAGTTGTTTCGCTTTGACATGTTACCAAAACGCACGTAAATTTGTTTGTGTATCAAATAATAATGTCATTTTCCATTACAGTGAAGAACGCCAAAGAGCATCCGTGGAATGAGGAGAGTGGCATAGTGTGATTAATATGTAACACACAACAAAGCATATGGGAACATAGACGGATCCATGATTAGATATAGATATGGGTCAAAATATTCAATTTTTTAAGAAAAATACAATGAGTTATTAGGTATTTAAATTTACAATTCATAAGGCGCAGTCTTATTTGTTTGATAATTAAATTTATAAGGACCTAAATTGTTATTAGACTAAAAAATTGAGAACATTGGATTATCATTATTTTTTTCTTCTTCTTTTTTGTATAATAATTGGTTTCCAATCTATTGATCAACTAATTCAGATCAGATATTGCATAGGCGAGGACAACCATCCCAACCCAGTTTGCTCTATTCGCAATCGCCAAGATTTGAACCCCTAACCTTGCTTAAGGGATCTAGTGTCTCATCCGGCTAGATCAACTGATTGTTGGAATTGGATTATCATTCTTTAGTTCGATCCTTACTTGATTAAATATCTTATAAATTCTTATATTTCTTAATTTTAATACTTATTTTTACATAAACTAAAATACTATTAGATCAAATCTATCGAGCATAAAATAATTTTACAAGGGCAGGGCTACTTTGGGCCCAAGGGAGCTCCGCCCCTACATGGGAACAGCGTGGAGATTGTCCTTCTCGCTATGTGCATCGAAATATACAAATTCACACAGGGCTGTAACTGGGCCTGGACAAGACGGGTATCTGTCCAGGATTCATATTGTGGTATTTAAACTTAGGGTAAATTATTTGTTTAATACCTAAATTATCAGTTTTGATTCATTTTAATACTTAAACTTTCATTTTAAAATATACATTATGTTTAGTTTTTATTTCATTTTAGTAGCATGCCGTTAAAACTTAATGACTGCATTTTTATGGGTAAATTACATCATCCATCCCTTAATTATCTTCTTACTCCTATTTTGGCACTAAAGTTTACAAATTTTCAATTTCACTACTCAACTTTCAAATTGATTATATTTTAATCACTCTAATTTATTTTATTAATAATTTTTATGACAAGACATTTTTATTATTATTTTATTAATATAATTACAAACAAAAAGGTAAATTTGAAACTTAGAGTGTGATTAAATTAGGAGCAATTTGAGGGAATTAAATTTAAAAAAAAACTTTAATGGCCAAAATTTAAACTTTAGTTATTAACAATGATGTACTAAAATGAAGCAAAAACTAAGCATTAGGTATGGTTTTTAAAGAAAATGAAAATTTAGATATTAAAATAGACCAAAATTGATAGTTTAGGTACTAAACGCATAATTTATCCTTAAATTTGTTTTTTTTTTAACTAAATACTTGTATTTATATTTGAATTTTTGTATTCAGATGGATGCTTGAATTGGGTTTTTAGTTTAAATTAATATTATATATCATTAAACTTTAAGTTGTCCGTCGATTTTATTATGAACTTTAAAAATGTTTCAATTTAAGTACTAAACTTTAGTTCCATATACAATTAAAGTATCGAATCCTTAAATTATTAATATTTGAATTAGGTGACTTTTTGATGTTCATGTACAAATAAAAAGATATTCTATTTAACTGTATTTATTGTCAAAGTTTATTTTTTTTTCATTCATTTTTTACCGTCCTAAAAAATTATCATTCTATGATGTCTTTTGTGGTTACCCTAAACAACGATGAACTCGTGTCATCGTCCTTTATCATTTTATTAATTTAGATTTTTTTTTAAAATATTTAAAATTATAAACTCGGACAAAAAAAGTCTTTTATCTTTTGAGATTTGAAGATTTTCTAAGATTTGAGAAGTTTATGGTGTTTTTTCAATAATCTAAATAGTGATAAGTATTCTTTTACAAATACGAATAACATACGTCAAATCTTTAGATGGATATTCATTAATTTTGAATTGATTTCGTGAAAATTAATATGAAGAGAACAAAGATGAGTAAAATGTAAATATTTTGATATTAATTTTATTGTGAATGATGACTAATGATAAATGATTATCTATTGATAACGATGACCGAATAAATTATTGATTTTTCGTAAGAATAACTTGGTACATAAACTAATATTAATATATACAATTGAAACGTTTATAATCCAATAACAAAATCAATACATAAACTAAAATTTATGAAAATAAGCATTCATGTTATCACGTTGTTAACGATTAAATGATCAAAATTTCGATCAAATTAAAAAAAATTCAGTACTAAAATTAAAACAATCTAAAAATGAATTATAAAAACATACACAGACAGGTACGCAAGAAACTTTTGGATTTGATTTCAGTATTAACATTGACTTACAAGGTGTTATACCAGGCCTCCATTGAAGTCAAGCCTGCAGAACACTAGAAAAACAACAAAAACAAACGACCCAAACATCAAACTCTGCTAAAGTACTTCACTTTCCCTAACACAAGACGCATCCCAAATCTCCAAAGTCTGAACCTTTACGATCTCGTTCAACCCATTTCTTCCATCTCTCATTCTCAATCGAAAAAAACGATGTTACCCTTCTTTGAAGATCACAAGAATCTCATTCTCCAAACACTACTCTGTGTTTCCCTCACCTTAATCCTCACTTTCCTCAAGATCCCCGTTTTGTTTCTCCATGGTTTGTTCACTTATATTCACCCTGAAAACGTCGGGCAAGGGAACAGCGGCTCATCTTCCGGCGTTAGAGCCGCCATTCGTCGACCTTCTGGCTCGGATTCTGGTCCCGGACTCGATGGTTACCAATCTCTGTCGTCGAGGACCAATGCGGAGCTCAAAAAGAGGAACAAATCTAAAGACAAGAAGTTCGAGTTCGATGAAAGCAATGCCCAGATCTTCAGGCTGAAACTCGACGAGGGTCATCTTCAAACCAGGCTTTTCTTCAATGATTACCACAATTCCTTTCTCTTCTCATTTGTGGGTATTTCCTGTTTGTTGCTTTACATGTATTTGGGCGCGTCTGAGGGTTCTGGGAATGGGAATTTTATTCCGCTTATTCTGGGATTCATTGGTTTAACCAAATCCTTTTTAGCTCTTGCGAAGATATCGTTTGAGAGATCTGCTTCTAAGAGGTCGGAGAAGCAATTTAGTGCCATTTTCGGTGTCTTAGGGTTTGTTATAGGGATTATGATTTGTTCTGGAATCGGACCATCGGTTTTCGATTTCCATTTCGATTCAATCGAAGGGTCTTGGAGGATTCTTATTGCCATTTTCATGGGACTGATTGCTGGGTTTCTGTATATGCCTGCTGGGAAAAATGCAAGGTCCTTTTGGCTTGGGACTGATCAGCTTAGATGTAATTTGTCCATAATTTCTTGTGGATGGTTTGCTAGAATGATTCTATATGCCAATTACATGTTAACTGTGTTCACTGCTTTACTTTGGATCAATCCATTTGCTGAAATCTTTGTTAACAAGAATAGTTTCCATGGCGGATCAGCTGCGGAGAAACTCGTTGGAAATGTGGGGTTTCCGGAATCGGAATTCAACAGGTTTAGGCTTCTCTGCTTATTGCTCTCTGGAATTGCACAAATTGTCGTTGTACGTTCGAACCTGCAGATGTTTTTGAACGAAGCGGTTTTGTCTTGGTATCAAAGATTGCATGCTAGCAAGGTCCCGGATTTGGATTTCAGCCGAGCCAAGGTTTTCTTGCACAATCACTACCTATGCCTTGCAGCTCTGCAGTTCTTTGCACCATCAGTGTTGGTACTGCTCTTCCTTGGCTTATCTCAAATTGACACTAATTCATTTGATAAATACAACCTTGTTTGTGGTTTACTGCCTTGCTCTGCTTTTGTTAAAGAAGTGGCCGTGTTCATGGCTTGGTGGATCGTATTCGTCTGGTCGGTTATCACTTCAGCAAGTCTGGTGTTCTACCGACGCGGTGTTTTGTATGTTTTCTGATAAAACTCGGTTTTTTGTACTTGCCCTTTGTTGTTGGCCTGTTTGCCTTTGAATTTTTGCCTAATTTTGGATACAGATTGTTTTGCTTGTAACAGATGATTGCATATGTTTGCTGAGATGTTGTAATGGAACATACATGCAGCAAGAAAATTCAGATGTTTTACTTCAGTTTAGTTCACTTATTGGTCGAAATGTACTTGTGCTTCGATCTCTGAATCAATCGAAAACGTTTTACAAAATGCACTCATATGTATTTCGAATTTGGACTTGCAATAATTACATAATACAAACCAAAATCCCATTGTAAATCCATCTCTGATTGAGGGCACAAAATGGATCCTAAGACTGAGACTCTTGTCCTAGAATACAAGATCAAACCACAATCAAGCATTTATTTCTGAATTACATTGATGCTCTCTACTGCAGCTCCTTCTGCCCCAAAACATTCTTGAACATGTTCTCCCCCGTCTCGGTCCTTTGATTTTATCCTGCTCCCTTGACATATCTTGTGAACGTCTTGGAGATTCTTCTTGTGTTTCCGTTGTGTCTTGATGTTCGAAAGAGGGGCAAGGACTGTCATTGCAGGTACATAATGGGATTGCAACAGAAGGAAATGGACTACAGGTAACCGGACAAAAAATATCAGAAGAAACTGATGAAACACGAGCCTTTCTGATCTCTGAAGTCGGTGACAGGCAATCAGCATCGCTGGGATGAAGCATGCATATGGTACAGAGGCCAAAAGAGAGCTGTAGCTTAATTTCTTTCACTGGCGAACTCAGCAATTTCACAAAGGAGAGAACGTCATGTCTACAGAGAGGGCATGGAATAGACCCAGCTGGGGCAACCATATTGGAAGGAATTTGGCTTGTTGAGCATAGATAAAGTGCGCACCTTACGCATAGCTCGTGCCCACATCCTGATGTTTAAAGCACAGATAAATATAACAGTTTATTCAGATGACTCAAAACATGTGACCTTCTGGTCACAAAGGGCAACCTTACATCGGCTAATTGGAAAACATACCCAAATTACAAAAACGGAAGGTTGACGGCATACCTTCAGCGGCAACACTACACGCTCTCTCAAGGCAGACAGCACAAGTGTCGTCATCATCTGAAGAGGTTGTTGAGGACTGCAACCAGCATTCTCTGCAAACAATAGTCAAAATGAAGGCTCCGCACCGCAATCGATAGACATAAATCATCCAACTATTCTATGTACTGAACTCAAAGCCAACTGAAATATTTGAATAATTTACAAGTATGTTAAAAAACAAAAGATAAAAGTATATCGAACCGCTGTTATATCAACCACCGATGAAGCTCTCCAGTCAAGTTTGACTAACTTAAAATCATCAAAGAAGTTCTTAAGTGATGGAAACTAGCAACTTGAGCCTTTCTCAATTATGACCATGGAATTATCTGATTACCTTGCTATGTTAAGTGCACTCAAAAGAGGCAAGGACAAGTAGTTGGAAGGAGGAAATCTAGGTATGGTTGCATCCGAATTAGGAGCCAACAAGGGCTCAAGCCAATGACGACCCCACATCCTGGCAACATCAAGCGGCAGCCACCTGAGAAAATACAGATAACGCTGTCTTTGTCATGATAAATTAAGAACATAAATAACAACCATACTAGAAGACTGAACTGACGAGCGAAACAAGATCAAAAAGGAAGATTACCCGTTGCAATTCAAAGTCATTCTACTGGCTCCTCTTGCTAGAAGTATCTAAATACAAAAATAATAGCATTATGTCATATTTGATACATGCAACAAACGGATCCAAAACCATTGTTTAAAAGTCTTGCCTGGCAACACTTCAAGTTTCCCCCACAAGCAGCATGATGCAAAGGAGTGCTTCCTGCTCCTGCCCATAAAAACAATAACCACATCACCCAGAAGTTTAAATCATAAGGCAACCATCCATGAAATAATAAAAAAAGGAAAAACATACCTATCAAATCCACTAATGTTCCAAAGTGAAATGTGACGGCAGAGACATTGGCTTGAAGGTCTAATAATAGTTGTACGCAATCAAAATACACATTTATTGCAGCCATATGAAGAGCAGTAATCCCACCATCAGCTGCCTTATCTACAAACTTCGACAGTGCACTGCATTGTAAAAAGTTACATAATTAACACAAAAACACTATCGCTTTTTGCATAAAAGGCTGAGTAATTCCAGTAGCAACTGAGATCACTGGGAAAAAATATGTATGTGATGAGCATCAATAAGTCATACATGCCAAAACTGAGTTTCTGCTGTAAAAGATCCTCTCTGATTGACCTTTTTCACAATATTACATGCAATGAATCCTGGACCTAATTCAGAGCCAGTAGGAAAAAATGCTGATTGAGTTAAGTAACGAAATACACACCTCTGATCGTTTTTGCTCCTCACACCAGAACCATCCCCTCTTTCACCTTCTATTTGGTTGTTTATAGCTTCAAGAGGAGCACTAGGAACAAAATCGGCAACAACCAGTCTTATGCATCTCACATGTCCATTTACAGCAGCAAAATGTAGAGCTGTTCTCCCACTTAGATAATCTGCTCTCGTGACCTAAAAAGGAAGTAAAACAACAATAGACATTAATTAAATGACATGCATTTGATATTTTTTTAAAGTTCATAACAAATTTAGGAAAATTCATTAAAATCAAAATGATGATCTCAAGAGCATATAGCATCCATTTTGCATCTGAACTTATTTCATAGTCCTATTTTGCAAGTAATTGTTTAACGGAAAAATGGAACTTACATTGCATCTGAAAAGCAGAAGGGTGCTGTACAACTTCCCTGCGTCCATATCTACACGCTTGCATCAATGCAGTCTTTCGTTTCGAAACATAAAGAAAGACATAGAAGTCAGTTATAAATGCAAATAGGTTCTGTTTGTTGGTTAGAAGAGAGCAGAATTTCAAGTGGTACATTCTCGAAGCCTGGCTTTGGGTTTCCACAGAATCAGATTTGGAATCTAAAATCATGTTCAATAAATTCTCAAAACCAATATACTTTATTCTTTAGGAAGGTAGCCGACCAGAAGAATTCTTTCAAAATATGTCCAATAACTCCAAATCCCAAGTTGATATAATCAAATACAAAAAGTTTCCAAAATTCGGAATCTTCAAGGGAACCCTATAAACAGAAGTAATCCCACACACAAAAATACAGCACAAGAAGAAGAATCATACCAAACACATTGTGAAACTTAAAGAAAAAAAAAACATTCAGCAATATACTTTTATTTAAAACGAATCGAAAAGGAAAAACCCAGATAAGAAAATGAATCATCAGTTACCTGGCCACAGTAATTCCTGGAATTCAAATCAGCTCCATTCTCAAACAATAAAGCAACAATCTAGTGAAAGCTCAGCAAATAAATTAAACAGGCAAACACTAAACATTTTACAAGCCAAAGGGTAACAACAAAGGTGACAAATTTTAAGGAAAAAAGGAGGAAGAAGAAGACAGAAAGAAACCTCATTGTGGCCTTTGGCAGCAGCGAAATGGAGAGGAGAATTAAGGCCACCAAAAGTGGAATATTTAGCAAGACATGGGTTGCAACTCAAAAGCATCTTAGCTTCCTCCAAATCCCCATCTCTCGCCGCCGACACTAATCTCTCACCTGAAGCTGTGCACCCAAATGAATTTCCCATTTTGATTATCTCCCCAGATTTCCCCTCTATGTATCACTCAGTGTATTTTAAGTATTTTTAATTTTTTCGTTAAATTAGTACATTAAGTTATTTTTGTCACTTAATTTTTCTCTCTTATTTTGTTTACTATGACGTTAAATAGTTAACGATGTTAAAATAATATCATTTAAAAAAAATAAAATTTTCACCAAAACGACTTCTTTTTTCATCTATATAATAATTCATTTTAACGTTGTTAACTATTTAACAACTAAGTGACAAAAAAATCTAATGTATTAAGTTCAGTAAAAAATTAAAAAGATTTTAAAATACAACGAATGAAATAAGAAAGAGAATAAAATTCAGTTGTTAAATTTATAATTTACCCTATTACTAGATAATTCGGCACAATAATTATCGAAGCATATATAAAATGAGTAGTGTTACTACATAAAATATAATGACATAGCACACATTTTATGTATACTAATACATTTTTATCATTAAAATTATTTGATAGATTTCACGAATTATTATTATTATTTTAAATTTAAGATTAATATAATAAGTAAAATAAAATTTCAAACATTTAATTTAAAAATCTCCGCATTAACCATATATATATATATAATTTTATTTCTTTATCAAAAGAACAGCATCTTAAGACGTGTTGAAGACAAGAAGGTGGGTAGGACAATTTTGGTAGACGAGTTAATTATTTAGTACAATAAGATATCATATGATTTATTTTAGAAACTATCGTATTTATTACAGTAATTTAAAACTCGTCATGTGAATATGACGATTTTTAATATAATATTTTTTTATTGAAAGTTGTCACTTTGGTATGATAAACTCTAATAAAAAAATTATATTTTATTAGAACTCTTATTTTAACGTGACGACTTAGATAAAAAATATTATTTAAATAAACTTGTCATGTAAACTTGACGAGTTTGTCATTCACTGTAATATTTACCGTAAATCTCATATTAATAATACGTACAAAACTAATATGTGTATATATAATAATAATATATATATTACAAAACTAGTGTGTGTATATATATATATATGCCTTAATTGACAAATCAACCGCAAGATGCCGAGAATGATGTGTACCTATAAACTAATAACAAAATTTAAAATGAAGGCAGAGCAGATGTCGCCTTCAATTTGCACCCACTTTCTAGGATTATTTGCTTCTTGCTCTTTCTTTAACAACCACCTTGTCTTCATGCTCCAATAAGTTGTAAATGGTAGAAATGAAGTATGATTTTATGTTAAGGAATAAGTTTGAATTAGGAGATAAACTTAAATTCGTAAAATTTTAGAGAGATAAAAACAAATTTTTAATAAAAAAAATACATTTAAAAAGTAAAATATATAATATTTTTAAATTTCCAGGGAACGACTACCTCTTCTCCCCTTGGTACATCCTTGATCGTGATGGAGAGCTTTTACGAACAATAGAATGCAACTTCAATTGATGGTCATATTATGAAGAGCCTGCGTGTGATCGGGTGTTGGCTGTAATAGACATGAGTCCAGTCGGGTCAAATTTTTAACCCATCTGAATCCGATTGAAATTTATATCTCTCCATCTGCATCTATATCAGAATGAAATCCGACTCGAACCCGAATATTCAAAACAAAAACCCGATGAAATCAGTTCAAGTCGAGTTGGAAATCATCGGATCCGAATGAAATCGCCGTCCCTAAACACGGATGTGGAAGGGGCTACTTCCATGCTGGTCCTGATGTAATATTGCGATGGTCAATGGCTTTAGCAGAGAAAGCCTCCACTAGAGCTGTTAGAGCAGCCTTTGCGCGCACAAGTGCTGAACTCTCTACTTCATGCCATTAGGCATGCTTCTTGGTAAGTTGGCGGGCCAAAAAGGGACAATAAAACTCTCTACTTTTCAATGTTGTGTTGAACAACCAGTCCGATATTGTATTCTCGAGATGTTCACTCGGTTTAGGGAAAGAAACCTCGAGCAAAATCGAACATGAACACCTCGAGAATACAATACTAGATGTGTAACGAGTCGTAAATGGAATTAGGCCTTCCATTAAAGCCGGTAACTTCGTTAAAATTCAGCATTTCTATCTTCAAACCAAGTCATTTGAACTACTCACTAGTAAGGAATAGTGCACAGCATAAACCAGCCTGGAAGTAGTTCTACATTAAACGAAGCACATGATCAAAGCTTAAATGACACATAAAACATTGAAAACACAAAAGAAAATGATTCCAATGTCGGTTCAGATCAAAGAAATAAACAAACCAAGCCAAACTGTAAACAAGTACATGTACTGATGTAAGATACAGCTGGTCCACGATTTTGATTAAACTCGGAACACGAAAATTAAGACCAGTCTTGCTATGTCTCGTCCTGTGTTTCTCTGTTAGCTTCACTGGCTTGACAAAAATAAATAAAACAAAATAAGCTTACCGAATGTGAGAGAATCGAGAGCCGAGCATCTCAGAGGTTGACCAAGTCAATACCCGAACCAAAAGTCCACACGAGATTGGTTCGTTCTTGACTCGAAACCCTTCTTCTCGGTCTCCATTTCATTCCCATTTTATCTGTATCTCCTATACTTTCCGCTTTTATCTTCTTTATTCTTCACAGCACAATGTATATATATGTAAATTGATTATGGGGGTACCTTACCGAGATGGCTCGGGATATGTTACCATAAGCGCAGCTCTGATTTTCTTGATTGTGCAGGAGATGAGATTGTTAACGGTTTCAACTGACTCCATTGTTAGCTTAGCGGTAGGAACACTATTCACCAAAATCTGAAATCCAACCGTAAGTATGCATCCACTGCTGCTTATACTCCCGTTGTCGTCCGGTTTTACCATTTGTCCGTTGGAATCACTTTGCCCGCCATGATAACTAGGTGATGTATGGGGAAGAATTGCGAATCCAGATGGTAGGAGTGCTACATATGCTGAATCGCCACCATTTATCACTATGCTCATTGATGATATATCGACGGGTGCGTATATTACCAATGCACCAGAGGAATCATACCATGTCTCTTGTAAAATTAGCATTGTGTTATCGTTTGTGCTGATGGCCTGAGACGTACCATGAAAATAAATCGAAAAAATATCGGATGAGAAAATCTAAGAAACGTGCAGTCTAAGGTCCAACGTGCCTAGGGTGTGAATGCTTACACTGCCACGAAGGAGAGAGACTGAGTTGTTGTGACCTGGTCCCTTGGCAATATTGACCATCTCCTGCATTGGCCCGCCGTTGGATAGAATGTCCCACTGAATCCGCATCCGTTCATCCCTCAAGAAATCGAACAACCTTTTCTGTGTTGCCGGCATCCAAACAGAGGTTGCAGCACACAACAGAACCCCTTGAGGTTCACCGGGATCATTTACATTCTTCCGGCTCATTATTCTCATATCGTCAATCACACCACCACCATTAAACGTTTCCCAATTAAACATACTCGAAGCACAAACACCGGCACAGAAGTTATTTGTCATACGCTGTGCAAGCTTTAACATGCTTTTCCTCCCGGCTGGAGTTATTCCTATAGCACGATATCACGCATCAGACGAGGACGATTCCACGTATTATCGTGGAAGATGAAAGAATAATGTAGCAGTCGATAAAAAAGAATACCGATGTTATCTTCACCGGGGATGTCAGGGGACATCAGGAGTGCCAAGCAATCACATTGCCTTTGGAGTGTGCTAATCCACCTGTGTGCACCAAAGCCTAAACCAGAACTGAGTAATGGCCTCAAGAGATGGTGAACTGCGCTTTCATCATATTCCGAGTGTTCGATCCAAGTAACCTGCTTTTAACATTTTGTAAGCATAATCTCTTGTAATAAACATCAAACCAATTAATGGGACATAAATTTAAAGTAACTAAAAAGGAGGGTGCTAGATTCACTTATTAAAAGATCATAAAAACACAGGTGTTACGACAACTTAAAAAGATCATCATATGATCCTAATTCATTTAAAAGATCATAAAAGCACATGAGTGTTACGACAACATAGAAAGATTAATATATGATCCTATTTCACTTCTTAAAAGATCATAAAAGAACAGGAGGGTTACGACAACATAGAAAGATCATCGTATGATCCTAATTTACTTCTTAAAGGATCATCAAATCACATAAGCATTACCACAACATAGAAAGAACATCATATGATCCTAATTCACTTCTTATAAGATCATAAAAGCACATGAGTGTTACGACAACTTAGAAAGATCGTCATATAATCCTAATTAACGCCTCAAAAGATCATTAAAGCACATACGTGTTACAAAAACTTAGAAAGATCATCATATAATCCTAATCCACTTCTTAAAAGATCACCAAAACATATAGGCGTTACGAAAACTTAGAAAGATCATCATATGAACCTAAACTTCTAAAATACCCTTTCTTAATTAAGCATACACATAAAGAGTTCGCTTTGAAACCGAAATTTTTTTGAATGGTTTAAAACAATTAAGCTTCTTCTTGAGTAGACAAATAATTGATTGAAGCTTCATATTCTTAGGTGAAGCTGTCATATCTCTTATTAGCTGCCCCATCAAAGAGGAAGGAAATCTGGTGAGCTATAAAACGAGCATTAAATTCGACAAAGCATAAGTCAAGGGGAATGGAGACCAAGTCAGTGCATATAATTTCACCCCCATATGGTCTCAACCAAACTCAGAAATTGTAATTATAACAGCTACCTTATTAAATGCCTGTTAGGAGAAAAACGAGTATGATCCAAGCTTGATCCAAGCTCAATGAGAATCAACATATTAAGTAAACTGTTTTTATTTAAAAAATAAAATAAGTAGAGAGCATAATAAAATTCAGATTAGCAATTACTTTGGAGTACTTATTGTCCAGATCCTGGATGACACAGCCAGAAGGAAGCCTCCTGCAGTTGATAAACGTATGCGTATTTGCGGCATCTTGGGTAGTATTGATTGAAACATCAACCACAGCCCACACACCCTCCGAATGATGTTTGCAGAACCGGATGAATCTCACTCGACGGGCAGGAACCAACGGAGAAAGAACTTGGAATTCAGCATCCATCTGCAAAGTATGATTTTCATAAGGCCTGGCCAACCAGCTAAAGAAACAAAGATAGATGGTGGGGGGGGGGAATACCACTTGCAATGCGTTGTCTCTGGCTACACCTGTACCGGTGGATAGTACATCGATGGTTGCTGCTCTAGAAATCAAGCAAGGAAACATTTCTGCCCAACGATTCTATTATTCATAAAGTAGCAGAAAAAGACCTTGTCAAACAACAATTTTCAAACAATAATACTTTCTTTAAGATTAAATCTTCATAACGGCAGATGGGAAGTTATGCTTAACAACAGAACTATAAAAACATTGGAACAAGTGAATGGGTGGCATACCGCATCAATTAATGCCTCAACAAGAGCCAATCCACCCAAGGAAACCAGGCAAGTTTCCCTTGTAGCCTCAGTTGTGTAGCCACTTGGTTTCATGCCAATGCAAGAGGAGAAAGTTCTTCTGTACTCTTCGAGGTTCAATGTTTCGTTCCCACCATCCCAGTCTTTGATCCAAAGAGGATTGTCCATCTGTGCCAACTTAATTAATTCATCCAAAGCCGCCAAAGCAACATCTACGATGGCTGACCTGTCATATGGCATTTCATTGGACCTAGATTTCATCAACGGCAACAGAGCCCCATCACAGAAGTTGAATTCCATTGGCAGTGAAGTGCCCACATTGCTCAAGCCACCAAAACCATTTCTTCCCATTGCAAGCTCCAAATTGGAGTTTAAGCCTTGGAAAGCAATAGGACTGGCCGAGGAAGAGGCTGGCCAGCCCAAGAACTTGTTTGTTAGAGAACAAACCCGGCTTAGTTCATCTTTCAATCGAGCATTCTCAATCTTGAGCTGGTGCTGCTCATAAGATATTTCACCGGGAACCGCTGGACCACCACAACTGTTGCACACCGGGCTAATCATGGCCTGCTTCAAGAAATCATTATCGGCTCGGAGTTTATCATTCTGTTGTCTAAGAATCGCATTCTCATGGCGCTCCAATTGGGTCTAATTTAAACAATAAACTCCATCATCAGCAACCTCAAACTGAAGATTAGAACTCAGCAACATCAAGACTGACACAAACAAAAAGTTCATCATAAACTGACCTTCATTTGAGTTCTCCTATTCTGAAACCAAAATTTGATTTGCTTGATCTCTAAGCCAAGCCTCCTGCTAAGTTCCGTTCTTTGTTTTTCATCAGGGTGAGGACACTCCTTGAAGAAACTAGACAACAAACACAATAAACACAAAGACTTGAAGGACAATAACTTATAAAAGATTCAGTCAAAGAAATGAAAGATACAAAAACCATACGATTCAAGCTCTTGTATTTGATGTGGAGTGTGCCTATGGTATTTCTTAGGCCGCCTTCTATCAGCAGCCTGATCATCACTGGAGGCACCTTCAATGTTGTCACTTCCTGACCTACTCTCATTCTCATCTTCCCTCATCCTCCCAAATGAACCAGGATCAAAATTTCCCCCCAACTGATCCATTGTTCTCTGCACCAAAACCAAGTCACCCCAAATTAAATGACCCCATCTTTAAAAAAAGGTCACAAAGCAAAAGATCAACACAAACAATAATAAAGTAGGTGATGAATTAAATAAAAGAAGAATGCATGGAGAGAAAAAGAGAGATACATAGGGGAGAGATAGGGAAGGGGAGCTTTGCATAGGTATGGGAATATGTTGGGTGAGAAAAGGTGATGGTAGCTCAACAATGGTATCATCGCCACCACTAAGCATGTTGCTGTACGGAACAATACCAGCCACAAGTATTCTTGCGCCAATATCAACACCGTCGCTTCTGGCACTACTACACTTGATCAAACCACCAAAACTCATTATATTAGGAGGGTGAAAAAATCTTCAATTTCGTTTCTCTTTCTCTACAAAGTCCAAACTTTTTTGAACAATTTCATCTTCCTCAAATGGTGAAGAAAAGAAAAGAAACGCCTGTCCTCGTTAACGCACATGCATGATTGCAATGTATCTATCTTTTTCTAAGAGACATTTACTGTTTTTCTCTCTGAAGAAAGTAAGAAAGAGAAAAAACAGCGGTGGAACAAGACAAAAAAAGGTCCACTTTTTTTATCTTATAATATAAACGAAGAGTCCACGGTTCACACCTTGTTTTGATCCTTTTCTAGCTAAAGCCCCACCTGCGAAAATCACTGAAAACGTTAGAAGATTGAGACTAACATGACAAAAAAAAACCCTAAAATTTCCCATCAACATCCTTGACCAAATGTTTGTCAATATGTTTGACAGAAGAAAAAATGAAATAGAACAATGAACACAAAAAGGCAAAGTTACAACTTTCTCATTCACACCATACACTAATAACCAATGAAAAACAACATCCAGTTGACCCCTCTCTCTCCCTTTGCCAATGCAGGTAGAGAAAAACACAGGCTGTAAGAAAATAAATGCACATAAACAATAACCCAAAACCCATTACAGGGATTGAAAGAGATTAAAAAAAATGTTAGCTTTACCTTTTTAAAATAAATATAATCGACTTTAAGCAAAGGACAGTGTGATTTTCAACAGAGAGTTAAAAAAAAGAATAAAAGATTACATGGTATTCAGATCTTTGGAAGCTTCTCTCTCTCCACCTTTTTTCTTCTTCTTTCTCCTTTGAATTGTTGGGATCTGTTGCAGAGTCAAAGGACAGAGGAAATATATAATAAAGTATTGAACTTTGATTTTTCTTTTAATTTTCTTTCTTACAGGAAATTAATCATGTCGGAGAACTGGATAGAGAGAAAAACCGAAGAGCTTCAGTATTAGTACAGTGTGGTGTGGGCCTCACTTCTCCCAAAATCGGCGTTCGGGATGCCCGCCCTACTTTACTCCCACGCGCTAAATTTCTGCGCGTGTATCTTGGCGGGACTTTTGGGGATTCGTAAATGGGTTATGGGCCGTTATTTCTACTACAACACTATATAGGGTAAAATTGGCCGTCAGACGGGTAAAAAAAATTAGTTCATTAAGTCATCTTGAAAAATAATTTGGAATCAACAAAAAAAAAAATATCAGTGTATGATAAACTCGTCACGCTCATATGATAAATTTGTCCAAATAATTTTTTTATTCAAATTCATCACGTCGAAGTGATAAATTTTAATAAAATATAATATTTAATTAAATTTAAGCGTTGGAGTAACAAATTCTAATAAAAAATATATTTTATTATAATTCGTTACTTTAATGTGATGAGAAATAAATTACTATAATAAATATCGTAGTTCTCAAAATAAAAAAACTTAATTTTATATTAGGCTAAATAATTAGTCCGTCTCCGATATTGGCCCAAAATTACCTACGCAGCCTTTGTTTGTTTGACGGTGGTCGTTGGGTCGGTTTTTTAGTGTGCCTCTTATGAACCAATTACTACAGCCTTCGTTTGACGATGGCGGTTGGGCCAGCTTTTTAGCCCATGATGGCTCATTTGTTTTTTCCTCAGTGATAGCTCGTCCAAGTTGTCGGTAACTTCTAAAGTACAAAATTAGTCCCCAACTATAAATTATTATTTTATTGAGTCTATTAACTAGGGACTGCTTTGTTGAGTCCCTCGACTGTTAAAAGTTACAAAATTATCACTTAACTATTCATTATGTTCCAAACTCATCCTTTTTGTTAAAAAAATAATGATCATCTGAGTTGGACGTTAACATGCTAGTCGTGATATGATATTCGCTTGAGATTATGATATAAGATTTTATCGTGTCTCAGTCAGCAGGTTAATGAATAGCTCAAATTGCTGTCAAATTTTTAATGGAAAAGGCCGAGTTTGTAATATAATGAATAATCAAGTGACCATTTTGTAACTTTTGAAGATCAAGGGACTCGATAAAGTAACTTCCTATAGTCGAATGATCATTTTGTAACTTTTAATAGTCGTATGACTTAATAAAGCAATATCTTATATTCAGGGACCATTTATGTACTTTACCCTAAATTTTATATTAAATTATAATATCTTTCGCCGATGATTTCCCCTAACAAGTTCTAAATCTAATTTTAATCTTATCTAGAGGGAGGAGAAAAGTGGACTATGAGAGAAGAAAGAAGAATAATAAAACCGACGACGTAAGAAAATACGAGGGAATAAATATGAGCAACTGACTAAATATGTGTTCTTATATCTTTTTTCAATGTTAAAAATACGAATTCAATCGTTTAAATATAATATATATTAATATTAAATCAAATACCTTTTAGTAACATGATTTTTTTAAGATAATTAAGTCGCTTGAATTGAATACAAATAGAATATTTCTTAAACGTTGACAACACATATATACTTCAGAGATGAAGTTACTCAAATATAGAATATTTGAGGAGAATAACGTTTTGACCACTAAAACCATTTAATGAATTATATTTTAAGAATTTAATTTAAAAACAATATTAAATAAAAAAATCATTCATTCATGTAATTTAATTTTATACGTTCAAGTTCGTCCCTTGAAATTTTATAAGTTTAAGTTCTCCTCCCTTAACATAAAATCGTGTGTCTATCCCTGATTGCAGGTGATCCATACCGTCGATTTTCACGTTATTGAGTTCCATAGTATAATACATAAATAGTTTTGTGAATTCCGACAGTCGTTGGTCGCGGTTAATCGATGATTCGCTCGTAGAGTGTCGGTATATATTCGGATCGATTAACTTCTAAAGTACAAAATTAGTCCCCAACTATAAATATTATTTTATTGAGTCTATTAACTATTAAAAGTTACAAAACGGTCTCTTGACTATAGGGACTGTTTTGTTGAGTCCCTCGACTGTTAAAAGTTACAAAATTATCACTTAACTATTCATTATGTTCCAAACTCATCCTTTATGTTAAAAAATTAATGATCATCTGAGTTGGACGTTAACATGCTAGCCGTGATATGATATTCGCTTGAGATTAAGATATAAGATTTTATCGTGTCTCGGTCAGCAGGTTAATGAATAGCTCAGACTGCTGTCAAATTTTTAATGGAAAAGGCCGAGTTTGTAATATAATGAATAATCAAGTGACTATTTTGTAACTTTTGAAGATCAAGGGACTCGATAAAGTAACTCCCTATAGTCGAATGATCATTTTGTAACTTTTAATAGTCGTCTGACTTAATAAAGTAATATCCTATATTCAGGGACCATTTATGTACTTTACCCTAAATTTTATATTAAACTATATAATATCTTTCGCCGATGATTTCCCCCTAACAAGTTCTAAATCTAATTTTAATCTTATCTAGAGGGAGAAGAAAAGTGGACTCTGAGAGAAGAAAGAAGAATAATAAAACCGACGACGTAAGAAAATACGAGGGAATAAATATGAGCAACCGACTAAATATGTGTTCTTATATCTTTCTTCAATGTTAAAAATACGAATTCAATCGTTTAAATATAATATATTAATATTAAATCAAATACCTTTTAGTAACATGATTTTTTTAAAGATAATTAAGTTGCTTGAATTGAATACAAATAGAATATTTCTTAAACGTTGACAACACATATATACTTCAGAGATAAAATTACTCAAATCTAGAATCTTTGAGGATAATAACGTTTTGACCACTAAAATCATTTAATGAATTATATTTTAAGAATTTAATTTAAAAACAATATTAAATAAAAAAATCATTCATTCATGTAATTTAATTTTATACGTTCAAGTTCGCCCCTTGAAATTTTATAAGTTTAAGTTCGCCTCCCTTAACATAAAATCGTGTGTCCATCCCTGATTGCAGGTGATCCATAAGTAGGTTAGGTGTTGGATTTTCACGTTGAGTTCCATAGTATAATACATAAACAGTTTCGTGAATTCCGACAGTCGTTGGTCGCGGTTAATCGATGATCCGCTCGTAGAGTTTCGGTATATATTCGGATCGACTCGTTTCTCTCCGATGGAGCCATGACGGGACATGATGCGTTTTGGATTGGTTTGAACCTACTAATGTGAAAGCCGAGTTATTTATTTTGAAGTCTTTATCGTGAACGAATTTGAGCACTAAAAATACGAGTGCGAAACAATTATAAGCATCATATTCTTCGACAAAAGCTTCAAAATATATATATATATATATATATATATATATATATTCTTTGTTTTGCTTTTATTCTTATTTTCTTGATTTCCCGAGAGATTTCTTTACCGTGTATCGATAATTATATAGGGTAAATTGTGCAATTAGTGTATAAACTATCAATTTTGATCCATTTTAATACCTAAACTTTTAATTTTTCAAAACCATACCTTAAGTTCAGTTTTTGTTTCATTTTAATATTTCGCTGTTAACGGGTCTAGTATATAAACTATCAGTTTTGACCTGTTTTAGTACCTAAATTTCCAATCTTTTTAAACCTTAACGTTAAAGTTTGAATGGTACTAAAATGAAACAAAAACTAAAGTTTTTAACGACGAGTACTAAAATGAATCAAAAACTGAAGTTTTTAACGGTGGGATATTAAAATGAAACAAAAACTAAACTTCTGGTATGGTTATGAAAAAATTGAAAATTTAGATATTAAAATAGACCAAAACTAATAATTTAAGTACTAAATACATAATTTATTTTACATATAACACACCAAGCAAACAAGACAGGACAAGAGGGTTGGGTTAAAATAACTGCCAAAACCGAAAGACGAGGTAACTGGCAAAGCTAGCGTGCACAACTAGCTAGGAGCCCCCAACAACCAATCGCCCCTCTTCTCGTAAATGACCGAATTTTACGCTTCTTACGTGCCAATCAAACATGATCACGTCGAGTCTTCTACGACACCCGATTTTCTTGCAAACTGCGACAGTTTAAAACAACCTAAAAAAACAACACATGACCAGAAAGGAACAAAACTAGTAGGGTGTCCCTCCCAAAAGCTCTCTTAAAACCCCCCAACACCAACTCCATAAAAAATTGATTTTTTTGTTAAACAAATAATCTAGCTATAGTTTCTGGATATACAGAAGAACCCCAAATCCGAAAGGCCTGTTTTTTTCCTTTTCTTTGCTTTTCCCGTTTCTTGTATTGGTTTGGGGTGAAAATGGGAGGGGATGATGTAGAGAACAGAGAAGGAAGGGCGAAGAGAAACAGCAATGGCGTTAACATAGCTTCATCGACTTACATGATGGAAGACAGAGAGAGTAAATGGACATCGTGGTTGGTGCCTATGTTCGTGGTGGCTAATGTTGCTGTTTTCATTATCGTTATGCATCTCAACGATTGTCCGAAGAACAGTCGAACGAGGCCTGTCGTCGGTCGGTGTGTGGCGAGGTTTCTCGGTCGTTTCTCTTTTCAGCCTTTGAGAGAGAACCCTCTATTCGGCCCCTCTTCTTCTACGTAAATTTTCTGGTCACCCTGCAATGTTTATTGGATTGAATTGTTGAAATTTCTGTTCTATGATGATTTGTTTTTCACTTTCTTACAGATTGCAGAAATTGGGTGCTCTTGAGTGGAGCAAGGTTGTGGTAAACCATCAGGGATGGAGGCTTATAACATGCATCTGGCTACATGCCGGTGTCATTCATCTCCTAGAAAACATGCTCAGCCTCGTCTTCATCGGAATTCGCCTCGAACAACAGTTCGGGTTCGGTATGTTTCGTCTTCTGTTTGAAGCTTATATCAAGGCTAGTTCTTAGTTGTACATATCTGATGTGTGTTGTTTGTTGATATTACTTCACAATTTGGCAGCTCGGATTGGAATCCTTTACCTCTTGTCGGGATTCGGTGGAAGTGTGTTATCGTCTCTATTTATCCGAAACAGTATCTCCGTCGGTGCCTCCGGTGCTCTTTTCGGACTTCTCGGCGCGATGCTTTCCGAGTTGATCACAAACTGGACCATATACACAAACAAGGTGACACGTTATAAACTGTTTCATCACATGTAAAATACAATGTTGAACCACTAGACCCTTTCTATTGCTTACTTCCGCTGTCGATGGATTCCGCAGGCTTCGGCTTTGCTAACTCTTCTGGTCATCATTGTGATTAACCTTGCGGTCGGAATTCTGCCACACGTCGACAATTTCGCACATATGGGCGGGTTTTAACCGGCTTCCTACTAGGGTTCGTCCTACTACCTCGTCCTCAGGTAGGGTGGTTTGAGAGCAGGAATGTTCCTCTCGGGAGTCGTTTGAAATCGAAGTACAAGCCTTACCAATATGTGTTGTGGGTGGCTTCCATGGTGCTGTTGCTTGCAGGGTAAGAAATCAACCAAACATTCATAACCATGCCACTTTAAGATAGAACATGATTCCGATATAGATTAAGGTTTGTACGACAAGTTCTAATGTTGTCATATGTCCTTTAATTACGCAGGCTCGGAGTTGCACTGACGGTGCTGTTCCGGGGAGAAGACGGAAACGAACATTGCAGTTGGTGTCATTACGTCAGCTGTGTACCCACATCTAGATGGGAATGCGAACAAAACAACTAACACCGGGCCGGTGGATAACATTAATTAAATGCTTCTTCTTCAATCTTCTTTTTTCATGCAATTTGTCATTTCATTGTTAGAGCTTAGGGGTGCTGTGTGTGCTTTTCAGTCATGGCTCTGTTTAATCAGCAGAACACTGGATTTATGTTGTGTGTATTTCTGTATATGATGGACTAGTTTGTAATAATTCATAAACAATAGATTAAAGTAGTGATTTTATAAAGCCAACTAAAAAACATGTTAAATATTGTATTTTTTTGTATCTTTTTTCCAGCATTTTGGTGTTTGGGTATTAAAAGGGATCAAAACTGATAGTTTAGATACTAAACGTGTAATTTACCCAATAATATTATGCAGATAGTCATTCAAGCTTGATGAACCACACATGTTTTTCATTGCACAACGACCCAAATTTAAATCAAGGATATATACTCACCTGCAAGGCTAGCAGTGACGAGGTCCAAAAAAACTGATATAAATGGGGACACGTAGATTTATCATGCCAATGTTGATGTTGCTTCCATGGTCTACCTCAATAGGTGCAGCAGTGGACTGCACCACCGTGACGGACCTAATATCGGTCTGCGCCACCTTCATCACCTATGGTTCACCCGACCCTTACCCCGGTTCACCCTGTTGCGAGGCCATAACCAACATCACCTTGATGACTCATTCCACCGATGATCGGAGGTCGCTTTGCGCGTGCTTTATGGGGCTCATCACCGCCAACAATCCCAATTCCACCGCGATCGCTATGTTGCCGGGCTTTTGTGGTGTTCCACTCAGCTTCACCATCGAACCGGATACCGATTGCAGCTCGTATATCTTTTAATCTCTTATGATAAATTTTAGTTTACTGGATACCAACATTTGATAATTACCTGTTGTAGTATATATATATGGATGCAGAATTCCATGATGGCAAGTACTCTAGCGTTGGCAACCTGGCCATGCCAGGAGAAGGTATCATTCATCGGCAACTTCGTAGAAGTTTTTGTTTGAGATTCGAACGTCGACGCCCTCCGGAAACAACGGTCCCGGCTGTCTAGCGGCCTTTCCATCCTTCGTCGCTGTCCGACTAAACACAGCTGTGATTTGTACAATACTACTTCGTGTCGAACCATTAAATACATAATAATCTCTCTTAAATTACTCATCTTACCTGTAATTTGTGGTCAAATCCAGTAAAGAAGTTAGAATCTGCATTCAGTTCTCGGCCCTGGTTTTTGTTCGTCACGCATCTGCTAATTAGTATCAAAATCAAAGCAAATTGACTTCAAATTAGCTTTCGAATAATGAACTGAAGTAAGCCTTCTATCCCCATGGATTAATATTTGATACACTGACAGTAATAAATTGTATAACCTGGACATCATCGGTGACGTATTAGTCGAATAAAAATCCGAGTTTATTATAACTATTTGATAATAACCGCTCAAACATTTTTTGTAAATATCATGCTCGAACCCGAAATCTCTAGAGACGTCAATCATCCTTTTAACTACTTAGGTTGTTTAGTTGGTGCGTAAAATTATTATTTTAACAATTACTCGCAGGCTATTGTAATTACCCTATGGTGTCTAAATACACTCAATATTTTTGGAGAAAAAGACAAATTTATCAGGGGTCATATAAGGATATCTTGTAGAAGTCAGGGGTAATAATTTATATTTCGACAAACCTGAGGGGTCTTTTATTAAGTAAACGCAAGTCTACTTATAATGAGATTTCTAGTTTCTACAACACAAAAAAACCTCTACTTGGTTAGGGTTTGTGAGCGCGGTAAGAAGAGGCGGGAAGTGAATCTTTGAGCAAGAGCCTGCGAGAATCCACCGTCAGAAAAGTTCCTTCAGCTAAATCTCCAATGGCGGATGATGACTATAATGACATGGATATGGGGTTCTCTTTCTCTCACTCTTTATATATTATTTTTCTCTGTTTTTTGTTACTTTTCAATTCCATTTGGTTCGACAATTGGATTATGTTTTCAGTTTCTGTTCAAGTTCTGATAAATAAAGGAAATTAAAAAAGTGGGGTTTTAGGGTTTGTTCTTCCATTGTACTGTTGGGTTTTCTTTTTCAATTGCTCTTGTCTTTAATATTAATGTTGAAGCATTCTGTTTTTGTTTTTGTTTTTTTTATGCTCAAAAATTGACTGTGGGTTGTTGAAATTGTTGCTAAAGTTACGAGGATGAGCCACAAGAGCCTGAAATTGAAGTAAGTACTTCAGTCCTGTGTGTGAAAGAAATAATCTGTAAGTGATGAAAGCTATTTATTGTGTAATGGGTTGTTTTTATGGTGGACAGGAAGGAGCCGAGGAAGATTTAGAAAACAATAACAATGATGATGTTCCTTTGGAACCTATTGAAACAGAGGAAAAAGATGACCAGGATGCAAAAGACAAAGCTTCTCGCAAAACATCGAAGTACATGACCAAATATGAGCGTGCTAGAATCTTAGGCACCCGCGCCCTACAAATCAGGTTTAACTCGATAACCTTTAGATTCTTTATGTTTTCAAAGGGGATGGGGTTTATGGTTTCAATTGTCTTATATGATGTATAATGTTTTTTCCCTGAACAGTATGAATGCTCCAGTTATGGTTGAGTTGGAGGGTGAGACTGACCCGCTCGAGGTAAGATTATGCTTGTGACTATTTTGTCATATGTTTTGCTCTCTTTATTATATTCTGCCTTCTGAAAAATTGATCAAGCTGGGTGCGAGCTTGATGCTAAAGCACTGGCAGTTTGAATACTTGTATGAGATTACCACACTCATAAGTCATAACTATTTGACAATAGATTTTATGTGTAAGATATGTATAAACTGGACCTTGTTCTTTTTTTTCATTCTTTTCATAATGGTCTAAAGAAGTTTTTAGATTGTATATAAGGAGTATGATTCCTAGATGCATGTTACGTTTAACACTTTGCATGCTGAATGGGATAAGAAGACGTGAAATATCATAATCCCTTAGCCAGGTAAACAATAATGGTTTGGCCCTGGTTTTATCTATCTCATTTGCATCTTGTCACGGCTGAAACATGATTGGCTTTAGTTTCATTCATGTGTTTTCCTTAGGCTTCTCTATTTATTCCATGTTGGGCAGTTCCTTGATTTTCACAAGTTTTTAGTTTTTACTTATCTCTTTTACTTCATTTGCCTGCTTTCTTTCTACCTTCCCCTGCTTCACCTAGACTTGACAATTTGTGTATCCATGTTGTGTTTGTGTATTATAGTGTTATAATTGCATTTAAGATGTTTATGTTCGTATAAATTTTGATATGATAATTCTTTGTGCCGTACTAGTTTAGAGACATTTGTCTATTCTGTCTTGTTCTTTTCTTTGTCGTGTTTTAGTTATTTGTTTGTGCTGTGTATTATTTAATCATGTCGTTTCATGTTTAATATCAGCACTTCTTGCATCACCTCTACATTTTAAAAGTCATAAGCAAGCTGTATTTTTTATTTTTACATTCCTGTAATACATACTGAGCTGCATGATTTTGTACTAATGCTCTCTATTATTTATCCTACAAACTGTTATATATTGCTTTTACTTCACTATAACTCTCTTTTTGGCTTTTATAATAGATTGCCATGAAGGAACTTCGAGAGCGGAAGATACCCTTCACCATTAGGCGCTACTTGCCTGATGGAAGGTGAGATTTAGTATTTTTTTTACTTTGTATATAATTGATCATCAGGCTTTAGCTAATGCTATTGCTTTGTAGTTTAAGGTCTGGGGCATAGAGGTTGGGTTGTGATAGTGTTTCATTTACTCGCAGCGTTTTGATGCATTTATGATGGACTAACCTTCGGTATAATAATATTGTAGTTATGAAGATTGGGGAGTTGATGAGTTGATTGTGGAAGACTCGTGGAAGAGACAAGTTGGAGGTGATTGATTATCGATCATCCGTCGATGGAGGAACATGAATGTGTCTCAATTTCAGGTTTGGTGTGCCATGGTATTGTATCTTTATATTTGGTCCTTAGATGTAAAAAAGGGGAACAAGTGTTTGCATGATGGCTTTCAAACTTTATATATCCGACTGGTTGAAATGCCTTTTCTGCCCTTGACTTGAAACAAAACGAACCCGGTTTTAATGGCATTTTGAAGTCGTATGCAAGTTAGTTCTTATTTTCATGCTTTCCACTTTCCAGTGATATGGGGTTACATGCTTAAGATATTTTTATGCTGTGTTCTTCAGTGGGATTGTATGCTTAGGGATATATTAGGTTCGAATATCCTTTTAAAACATTCGAAATTACGAATATTTCTCAGTTAAATTATTTGGTGGTGCTACTAAAATGCTTTTAGGTGAAGCCGGATCGGTTTGGCTTTCGTTATTTTAGTGTCAGATTAGGTTAGGAACGATAAAAAATCTGCTTCGACTTGTCCTGGTTGTCATATTTAGTCGGGAAGGTTGTCCAATCTATAAGTCAAATATGGACAATTATATTAAAAGATACGTAGGCTGTCTTTCAGACTAAATGAATGCATGTTTATTAGTTCTCACTAGAAGTAATATTTGTTTCAGTTTTGATTTTTGAAAAGCAAAAACATGTTTAGCTTTTTGGTATTTAGAGTCGAAACAAAAACTACATACCGGAAGGAACAATGAATCCTTCAATATCCTTTTATATATATATATATATATAGGGTTAAGATGCAATTACATAATGTAAAACTCTTTAGTTTTACACATATTTAGTACCGTTGGATGAGAGAAAATAATGGTTGAGTTTGACTCATTGTTTTTTCCCGGTAAAGATTTTCACATTTCTTACTTTTAATATTAGTCATCTGTTTTTACTCATACAATAGTCCTAAATCTGTGTAAAACTAAAATAGTTTTACATTGTGTAAGAGGATCATGGTCCATATATATAGGGTTAGAATCCACTTACATTGTAATTTTTTTTAGTTTTACACTTTTTTAGGATCGATCGAGGGAAATCAAAGATTGACATCGACTATTTTTCCCCAGTGAATATCCTATCATTTTCTACCGTTAATCTCTCTCAATATATAATGTCAAGAACAGCAGGTATTACAATTCAGCACAAATTATGGGTCTTATTTATTCATATTACATCGCCGAGTCAATGCCAGGTTAAGGGCTGATTTGTACTGTTGCTGAACATGGTTTCCCTGGTCACAGTTATTTGGTTCAGTTTATAAGGACTAGGTCTGGGACCAGTCCATGTCTTTTCTTTCATCAACCTGTTTGCTTTCATTTAAATTATTATTAACTGTAACCCATGTGAACTTCATTTTTTTAAAATAAATTAATCAATGCTTTCGACATTCAGTTATAACTAATATTGATTTGTTATTATTATTTTAAAAAAATCGTGTCATTGGAACACATGGGTTATCAATTGGCGAGTTCATGTGCGCAAGTCAAGCCTTAACAGTTGATCAATGAGTTTTCATTTGGATTTGGGTGATCCAACACAAGTTTTTGTTCATCCTTATGTCGCTTGAATAATTTAATAACGGGGAAAAAAGGTATGAGTTGCACATGTACATTTAAAAAAAAATTAAAATTAATATGATTCTCGTATTATTTTCTCTTAATGTTTTTCAGTTCAGAAAATAAATTTAATGTGATCTCTTGACCAATGTTTTTTAATTATTGATCGTTATGGTATCGATGTGATAATTTATGATGTTAATGTGACAATTCATGATGTTGACATAGTAATTTATAGTGATAGATTAACGTGGTGGGTGACATAGTAGATGAATTAAATTGATAACTCTCAACATGACAGATGGTTTGTAATGTTAGTACAGTCAATGATAAAAAATATTAGTTAAAAATTAACATTAGATTTATTTTTTGAGTGAGAGGGAAGGACTATATTGAAGAAAAAGATACACAAGGGCTATATTGATTTTTATCAAAAAGTACAAAAGCTACTCATGTCTTTTTACCTATAATAAATATTTAATGTGAATTAAATGCCATTTCATTTTCATTTAATTATTGGGAATATGTGCCCAAAGGTTGCCTACCTGCCGAAGTATTGTCACCGCCCATGCCCATGGCCAACCAAGCAACTCTCTCTCTTAATTAATTTATTATTCATATTTACAAAATTTTAAATTTCAGCTTATTTAGGTAAAAAAATGAAAATAAGGATATATCAGAACTATTATTTGAAAAAAATTACTAAATTTTATTGTATTTGATAAAAACGTTTTGCATGAATATAATTTTTGTTGGAATTAAAAAAAATCTACAATATGTTGGTTCAAGTGGTAAGTAACTTGATATAGTTTAAGTAATGTCTTAAGTTCGAGTTTTTGTTTTTGTAAAAAATCTCAATTGAAAAACTAATCAATTATAGTAGGTGTGCGATCCGGGTCGATTTAGATTAATCAGAATTAAACCTTAAAACTGAATGGGAAAAAATTCTTTCATGAAAATCGTCTGATTTCAATATAAAGGACACATGTTAACGTTAATAAGGATCGAGAAATAACATGCGCAAGTCCTTAACTCTAATTATTAGTAAAAGTGAATTGAAAAGGTTATTTTTAAAAATGAGAATACACATTAGTTAAAGTTTTAAGTATTTAAATATAATTTCTTTTAACTTGTTCTTGTTGGATGATTAGAGTCTCAATCTATCAAATATACATTTTAGGACAATTTATTCTTTCAACTCTTACACTATAAATAAGCTATATGTTAATTTATATACTTGAACTTTTTTTTTAATCTTTTTGAGATAATTATAAGACAGTGTCAGTTCGTAAGACTCTTAACCATTTGATAATAAATGCTTAAACTCTCCTAATGATGATGTACTCGAACACGAGACTTCTAAGGATAACAACCATTGCCTTAACCCTTGAAATTGGTTGGTTCGTGCTTTAATTTTATTATTTGAATACTTATACTTTTAGTTTTTTTTAAATTTAATCCTAACCACAATCTTATTAGTTGTATTCGGAATAATGCGTGTATATACACGCACGTTATCCATGCACACTCATTATAAAAACGTACCCTTTTCACCTTTCGTCAAGTGGAGAATATTAATATTGATCAGTCCACCTTTATCCCTTTCCTTTTTCTCTCCTCAAAGACTCCAAATTATTTGATCTGCTAAAGAACCCTCTTTTGAACATGAAGGAAGTGGTACCCTTTCCTTTGATTTCTACCCTTCATTGACCTTCTCCTCCTCTACCTTCAGACCCTTCTTTGAGACGCAACAACCCTTGCTTTCGTTAATGATCTTGTTCAACTGCACGTGTGTTTTCTTTGTTATGGGGGCTGGTGTTTCTGGTCTTGCAGCTGCGCATTCTCAGTTCAAGACCGGTCTTGATGACGTGACCGAGAATTGCATATCGTCCATATACATGCACTTGAATCCGCCGGAGATTTGCAGGTTAGCGGCGCTTAACAGGGCTTTCCGTGGAGCTTCGTCGGTCGATTTCGTGTGGGAGAAGAAGCTGCCATCGAACTACAGGTACCTGGTGGAGAAAATTGTTGGTCAGGGTACTCCGGATACTTTGAGCAAGAAAGAGACTTTTGCTAGACTGTGTAGGCCTAATCGTCTTGATGGCGGCACCAAGTTAGTAGCTTTGATCGTTCTTCTTCGCTTTTTGATCGATCAAAACCTGTGAAGTAAAATGGATTTTGTTTGTTTTTATGTAGGAGGTGTGGTTGGATAAAAGGATCGGCGAGCTTTGCTTGTCGGTATCGGCCAAGGCACTGAAAATAACAGGTATTAATGATCGGAGATATCGGAATCACATTCCAACAGAAGACCCCAGGTAATACAACAGTGTTGGGGTAATGGAAGTTATGGATACATTTTATTAACCCCTAGTAGCTTGTATAGCTAACATTGTCTAGTCCTAAAAGTAAAATCTAATGACTTTTGTCACTCCACTCGTGATTTAATCGATAATTTAAACAAAAAATTAAATATTAATTAAATTTAATGTGTTTATAGATTTGGGACGGTTGCATATCTTCAACAAATTTGGTGGTTTGAGGTGGTCTAGTGTATTCTTTAGGCTGCACCTAGGCAAACCCTCGAGAAGATTCAGTCGACGGGTGTGCAACATCAATCAAGTTCATGGGTGGAACATGAAGCCTCTTCGGTTCCAACTCTCGACTTCGACGGGCCAACAAGCATCGTCAGATGGTTACCTGTATGAACCCGGTAAATGGTTCATTACCACGTGGGTGATTTTGTTGTCGTCGATGACTCAAATTCCTCAACGAAAATCAAGTTTTTGATGATGCAAATCGATTGTACGCATACAAAAGGAGGCCTTTGTGTAGATTCTGTATTGATTTACCACAGTGAGTTTAGGATGAGATTCAAGTAATTAAGGCAGATAATACTAGTCACTTCAAATGATACACCACTTCATTCTAGGGCAGCTGATGCAATGAATTATGGGCACTGAAACATATAAACATCATACTATAAGAAACAGAATCTGTTCCCAAAGTCTGTCCAATAGATTACACTTGCAAGAATTGAAAAGTGGAAATCTTTAAAAAGGAAAACAAAAAAGAGAAGGGGAAAGGAGATTGATAGTTAAATCCCAACTGAAAGCACAAAGCAAGTGTTGTCACAACAATGCCATATTGAAGTGGTTGCGAAAGATAAAACAATGGGAAGAAAGGGCATCTATGTCCGATGCTCTGTACAACAATTTGCGCCATTACTCGCCGAATGGGAGAGCCCTCTTAACTAGGCCACATAATGTTAGTCATGGCTTCCAGTCATAATCGTCGAGTTCACTGTTAAAAAACCCGCTATCCAAGAACTCTTGAGCTATATCCAAACTATATCATCCTGCAAATGGAGACTCTGAGGCAAATCAGGTGCTCTCTGCTTGAATCCAGCGTTGCCACCAGCTGCAGAGGAGTCGCTGTTTGAAGCACATTTAAAACTGTTGCTTCGGCTCGGGGCAGGCCCAGCTGCACCTCCTGATACAATAGAGGTGGCTGCAGCTGGTTGAGCAGTGGTGTTGTTACCAAAGCCCAATCCATTTCTTCCCGAACTGGCATTCCCATTCTGCCCACTCACGGACTGCTGTTGCTGTTGTTGAACTCCGGTATTCTTATTAGACATCTCATGGTACAGCTGTTGCATCATTTGTTGT